CGGCTGCGGCCGAAGCCCCGCCACATCGCCGTCCAGAGGCGCCCCCGGGAATATTTATTGGGCAGAAGAATCCAGTATACCGTAAGAATGAGGCGGCAGCTGAGGTCGCCTCCCGCCCCCTTTCAGCCGAAGAGCAAGGACCTCTCCAGCCCAGCTTTCTGTTTTAACCCGTAGAGATTCAGAGATGCTCGAAGGAAGCCCACAGACCTGGCTGAGAGCAGCCACTTGTCTCTGATTCCGGGCCCCCGGCAACTAGTATTCCAAAAAAACTTTGTATTCGCGAAGGCGGGGCTGTTCCATTAGGGATCACAGCTGCAGATAGATCTTCCTGTGGATCTGCCGAGTTGGCTCTCCTCACATCCAGTGTGAAGGGAATTCCAGAGACTCTTGTTGTTTAGTTGTTTAGTCGCCGTGTCCGACTCTTCGTGACCCCATGGACCAGAGCACGCCAGGCACTCTTATCTTCCACTGCCTCCCAGAGTTGTGTCAAAGTCATGTTGGTAGCTTTTATAACACTGTCCAACCATCTCGTCCTCTGACGTCCCGTTCTCCCCTTACCTTCACACTTTCCCAACATCAGGGTCTTTCCCAGGGAGTGTTCTCTTCTCATGAGATGGCCAAAGTATTGGAGCCTCAGCTTCTGGATCTGTCCTTCCAGTGAGCACTCTGGGTTGATTTCCTTCAAATTGGATAGGTTTGATCTCGTTTAAATCCAGGGGACTCTCAAGAGTCTCCTCCAGCACCACAATTCAAAAGCATCAATTCTTCGGCGGTCAGCCTTCTTTATGGTCCAGCTCTCACTTCCAAACATCGTTCCTGGAAAAACCATAGCTTTGACTATGCAGACCTTTGTCGGCAAGGTGATGTCTGTCGTCGTTTCTCCTCGCTTTTCCTCGCTTTCCTCCCAAGAAGCAGGAGTCTTTTAATTTCGTGGCTGCTGTCACCATCTCAGAGACTCTAGCTCTGATCATTTCGCTTCGTAAGGCTATCTTCGAGCCTTACTCCAGCCCCCCTTTTTTGTTTTAACAACCCTCAACAACAAAGAGCAAGAGATTTATTACTAAATCCCTGAAAGGACCAGGGAGCAGGCATCGGTTGAAAGGAAACCAACGCTTCCACTGGCCGGTGGGCTGGGCGGGAGGAGGTTAACATCGGGCTCAGGCTGGCGGGAGAGGAAGGGAGCCAGCACCCCTCAAGACCGGTGCTAGGACCTCACGGAAAGCTCTTGGGGCAGATGGAGGCGGGGCGGGGCCGAGGGGCACCGAGCCGGCGCTCCGTGAGAGCCGCCACGAGTTGCGTTCCCTGAGCTCGCGCAGAGCGGAGTAGAGCCGGAGCGCGCGGGCGGGCAGCGTGTATATAAACAGAGGCAGGCGCCGCGCCTTCCCCACTCAGCTCGCTCAGGCAGCGCCGGCGCTTCTGCCCGCCGACAGACGGTCGTCCCTGGGCTGGCTGGAGCACGTTGCGAGGCGAGACCCCGGCTGGCCCCGCAGGTTCGCTCGGCTGCCCGCCTTCGCCAGGCGCCCCCTCCGCTCGGCTCTGGGAAAAGTTGGAGAAGTGGGTGACTCGCGCCCCCGAGACGGAGGTGCGCGGCGCGTCCTTCTCTCGCCTCAACTCGACTCGACCGCTCGCCAGCCCAGCCAGCCGGCCGGCCCGGCCGCCGCACCGACGACCCCGAGTCGCCCTCCCCGCCCAGACAGCGAGGCGCACCCTCCGCTTTCCTCAGGAAGCCTGCGCGCCTCTCCGCCGCCGCTGCCGCGCTCTCCTCCTCCTCCTCCTCGCCGCCGCCGCCGCCTGCTGGCTTCTCCCTGGCTGCCCGTCAAGGGTTGGCGGCTGGCTCCTGAGAGGGCCTCGCCACACGTGCCCGGGAGGCACTCGCCTGACTGGGCGGAGGGTGGGGCAGGACGGGGCGGGCCGGCGGGAGCTTCGGCGGGGCGAGCTGTGGTCCGCCGGTGCGCGGAATGCGTCCCCCTGGGGGTGAGCCCCGCGCCCATCCCGCCCTCCGGTACGCCCCGAGACGGCTTGCCCGCTGGGCTTCGGCGCGGGCTTCTCTGGCGAGGAGGTGCGCTGAGGTGAGGGCGCCACCCTCCTCGCCTTGCTGAGCCCCCACGCCGCTTTGGAGGAGGGATGGAGCAGCCGCCCGGTAGACTCTGTCAGGCAGACCTGGACAGCCTGAACGCGATCCACGCCAATGACTCGGCTCAGGCCGGGAACTGCAAGACGGACGAAACCCCCGTCTACCAAGATGGCCTCCCACTCTCCTGGAAGATCGTCCTGGCCATCATCTTGGCTCTCATCACCTTGGCCACTGTCCTGTCCAATGCTTTTGTCATCGCCACTGTCTACCAGAGTCGCAAACTCCACACGCCAGCCAACTATCTCATCGCCTCCTTGGCTTTCACCGATCTCCTGGTGTCCATCCTGGTCATGCCCATTAGCACCATGTACACTGTGACTGGGAAGTGGACTCTGGGCCAGGTGGTCTGTGACATCTGGCTCTCTTCCGATATCACTTGTTGCACTGCATCGATTCTCCACCTGTGTGTGATTGCCTTGGACAGGTACTGGGCCATCACAGATGCGGTTGAGTACTCTATCAAAAGGACTCCCAAGAGGGCGGTTGGCATGATTGCCCTTGTGTGGGTCTTCTCCATCTCCATCTCGATGCCCCCTTTTTTCTGGCGCCAGTCCAAAGCAGATGAGACGGCCGATTGTATGGTGAACACAGATCACATCTTGTATACCGTCTACTCCACGGTGGGTGCCTTTTACTTGCCTACCTTGCTGCTGATCATCCTATATGGAAGGATCTATGTGGAAGCCCGATCTAGAATTTTGAAACAGACGCCAAAGAACACGGGCAAAAGGTTAACCCAGGCTCACCTAATAACGGATTCCCCGGGGTCAACGTCATCGGTCGCCTCCATAAACTGCAAGGCCTCGGAGGCGTCCAGTGAAACGGGGTCCCCCGTTTATATGAACCAGGTCAAAGTGAAGGTGTCGGATGCTTTGCTGGAAAAAAAGAAGCTGACAGCTGCGAGAGAGAGGAAAGCAACAAAGACTTTAGGGATTATTTTAGGAGCCTTCATCGTGTGCTGGCTACCCTTCTTCATCATCACCCTGGTGTTGCCTATTTGTGAGGATGCTTGCTGGTTCCACATGGCCATCTCTGACTTTTTCACGTGGCTGGGATATCTTAACTCTTTGATCAACCCCATCATCTACACCATGTCCAATGAAGACTTCAAACAGGCATTTCACAAACTGGTACGGTTTCGATGCACAAGCTGAATGTTGAATGCAGTTAAGCATTAATTCTCCAGGGCAGGAGTCTTGAATGCATTTTGTGGGTCTGGTTCTGCAGGTAGGTGGATCATTCTTACCATGTTACTGTCTCTGGAAATCAATACCTTGAATGGAAAAGTGGAGTTCAGTACAGGGGAGAGAGGCATGCAAACATAGTGTAGCTTCTCTTTCAGTGTGGAAGTAGCTACGAAGCTGTCTCCCTCTAAAGCTTTGGTTAGGAATGCTGCTGCGTCTTACTGTACTCTCACTAACACTGCTGAAGGAAGTAGTTTTGGCCTTAAGATGATTCTTTCTCCTGAATTTGTAGAGCCACGTTGGTAGGCATTGGAGAGCTTATGGACAACTTCTATGGAGACACTTCCATCCAGCGTGACTGCACTTGAACTAGAAGTTTGTCATCTAGTCTTCTCTGCCAGGAGATCTTTGCCTCTCAGCCATCTGTGTTCGAAAGCCCTCTTGCCAATGTTTCATTCTCCTCCCCTTCTCCTCCCCCCCCCCGCTAGCTTGCTAATTTAAAGACTATGCAGAAGTGGACTGTAAACAAATTGTGCATGCTGCTGAAAACCTTAGTATTCATCCAAAGCAGAGACCTGGAAGAATTGGCACTGATAGTCTGAGGAAAGCTAACCTGTTCCTTAGTAAGTAGGTTTGACGATGATAGGAGAACCTAATCAAATAGAGAGGAGCCCAGTGTGAGAAAAGCAACTCATTCTTATTTGTGTCTTTTGTACAATTGTGTCTTCTTTTCTGTTTTCCAACTTGTTAAATTGTAACAAACCAATCAAACAGTATGTATGTGTACGTGTTTGTGTGAGTGCATGCATGCTGGCCTGTGTACACGAGGTGCCAAAGCTTGCAAGCTCTTTTTGTTTTGTTTTGTGTTACTGCTATATGTTCCTAATATTTTTATATATTTAAATAAGTGACTCACACACATCACTCTTCTGTTATTTCACCAATTAATATGTAGAAATTGGGTGAACAAACCTTTCTGTCTTTGAGCTGCTTTTTGCTCCTGAAGCCAATATTGTTAGTTTTTATTATGGAAGAAAAGCCGATGAAACATTTCCTTATGTTGATGCAGCTATTAATGACTGGAATGACATATTCAGTGAGCCGCCTCTCCCAAGGTAACACAGCTTCCTGTTATACTGATTTCACAAGCACATTTGTTCCACTTCAGATCTACATGTTATATTGGATACCTTAAGGGACCTGGTGTCTTCTCCAGAAATTCTTTCACAGTACTTCTTGGTAAAAAAAAATATTAGGCACAGTTTTAATTTTCTCCAGCATTACTTCCATCCTTTCCTGAAACTGTGACAAACCAAAGGAAAGATTTTTAAATACATGGCTCACTTAAATTACTTGCACAAATAAAGCAATAAACTAGTCCCGGCTTCAATCCTTTGAGGACTGTCTAGACATATATAGAAAGGAGGGCTTTGAGAAATGTTCCCCTGTACTAGCCAGGGTGCCAAAAAATCTGATTTGTACAGCAGTCACTGCTTCAAATAAGCATGGTATTTAGAAAACCCTGGTACACCCTCATTTGCCTGTATTATGTAATATGTTCAAGGGAAGCTTGCTGATCTGCATATACAAGCCCCACTTTTCACAACAGTAAAGTTGTTATTAAGATCACTTTCCCCATGTGGCAGGCTTTACAAAGAAAGTCTTTAATGTACACACTGTTGGGCCTGAAGACCTGCAAGGTTTTCATTAAAATATCAATGGTTTTTCAGAATGCAAAACATATCCTGCCCCTTGCACAAGACTGCAAGTCACTTGCTTTGCCTGCGTATGGGGACTGAGCAGAAAAATCCAAATTGTGGTCCCTTTAGGTGGCAGAAATAGAACTTCATTTATATTATTACCACTGTAGGGGAAATTTTTTTTGATTCCCCTACATATGATTAATAGTCATATGCTTGCTGCCTTTTGCTCCAAAATATGCCACTTAAGTGAAAGCCCTAACGATAGCATGGATCCTAGTGTTAAACGGGTTGTGGGAGGGGGCATGGATCTCATGATCTTTCCCCAGAAAATTCTTGAAAGCTCTACCCAGAGGTCCAGGATTCCACTCATCCAAAAGTATGGTGTTTTCCTGCCACACCTGAGGTCAAGCAGCCAGCTAAGGAGGCCAACGAGGACCTCTTCCTGTTGCCACGTACTTGTGTACGTCCCTGCCTGTTGAGTTCACTGCTCTTTCTCTGTTGAAGAAGAACTGCAGCCTATGGCATTTTGCAGAGTAACAGAATGAAGAAGTATCCCCCCCCACCCACAACCAAACATGCTTCAAGGAGTTTAAAGCCCACAGGATTGATAGAAGAGGCAGAGGAAGCAGATAGAGGAAAAGGGAAAGGAGAAAAAAAATGCAGGGTAGCAAAGAATGGACCCGATCCAATGTACTAGCACACACATACCCTTTGAGCTGAACTGAAGTGCCGTGGAAATTGAGTTTAGTTTTAAATTAAGAACTTTATGTCACTTTTATACAAATCTAGTTCTTTGAAAAGGCACACTTGATTTGGAAAAGAAACAGGGAACAAAAACTTTATCTGTCATGGGAATCTTCTGCCTTTCTCAACTAATTTGCATGGATATGCACACAAAAATTCACATATTTGTGTCTGTGTACTAACATTTGGAGTCAACACCTCCCCCTTTCCATTTTTTTTTCTAGAAAGAGTTGCTGATCTCATTCTGAAGGGCTAGAAATTCACAACATTGCACTTAAATCAACAATAAGCTAAATGTTCTAACCTCTTTCCAAGTTGGCTGCTTGTGAAGGTTGTTCAAGAAATATATCTATATATCTATTTCAAAACAGCCAATGTGGACACTGTGACAAGTGAGATCTAGAGCTCAGCCAACACACAGAGGGAATAGATTATTTATCTCTCAATAATTAGACGTTGTTTGCACTACTACAGTCCCTTCAGAAATGAAGCACTTTGAGTTCCTGCTTTGGGAACCTTGGAGGAAAAAAACATGAAAGTAGTCCCTCCACCCTTTTAACTAATTGGGAATAAGAAATAGCCATTTGATGTCGTGACTGCATAGCTTTTTCCATATCTGCATCACTGTTACCTCATCAGACACTGAGGAATCTAAAGTCATCTGGAACATTGAGTGCTTGGTGTTTAGATGCCGTGTGAACCTGAAGGAGTAGGGTTTTTTTTTAAACCTACTATATCATTTGCAAAATTAATGCTTTATCAAAAACTGAATAAACTGATGTTACTGGAATTTGAACTTACTCCATTATATATTTTTACTCATTATTTTTCTATGACTAGATAGGTAACTTCTATGTAATAAGCCCAGCAGTCAAAATTAAAAATTCAGAATATGTTCCATCTGCTTTGATAGGATTGCATTGTAAGTGTTCATCCTAAGTGTAACTGAAAATCAAACAATAAAAAAAAAGCGCTTTACTGTGTTCTCGAGAGTATTGACAAAAATTGTGTTGCTAATTATGGGGATTTTTTTGGGGGGGGCAGGGTTTACCTGATTGCAACATATTATCTTTTACAGGTGAGACTTATTTGATGATGAGTCATTAAAGAAAGGTGATGACTCATGACTGAAACCATTAGCTGCCAATGCAAGCAAGTGGCTGAGAAAAAAACAGCACAGGGCTTTCGCTCACTTGTTGGTCCCAGCAAGAGTCAACCCCCCCCTGACTTAAGCTGTTCATTCGATAGTACAGTTAATTTAAAAAGTTAGATGTAGCTCAAAGTCTCTAACAGCAGCTTAAAGGCTGTCACATTTATCACAGTACAGGTTTTCAGGGACACTTCATCAGATTTGTGGTGTTACCGCAAGCAATCATATATTTAATAAAGTGGACTGTAGATATCTGAAAGGTTATTTTATTTTATTTTATTAAATTTCTAGCTTACCTTCTTCTGCCGAGACACTGAAGACAATATGCATGAAGTTTTTTTTTGCAGGTAGTCTTCCGTCCAGGGACTTACCAGGTATCAACTTAGTTAGCAAGGTGGTTGCACGACCATAGGCCTTCTTTTTGAAAGTAGTCCTGGTAACTTATTTTCTTTTCAATTTAAAATATATGATTAGATAAGACAAATACAGTATTTGAAAGGGTGTTTTGTTACAGAAAACGGAAAGTGCACCACGGCACATAAGCAGATTGAGAACTCAGACACCACTTGAATTGAAATAGTTGCTTGTCTTCGGGGCAATTGAGAATTATGAGGATCATTTTACCTTTCAGTAACTGGGTTTTGCTTAGATGTGGGAATGATTGAAACAGCCTTGATGGATGCATTGCACTTGCCAGCTAAATGAGGAATTCGGTCCTTATTCCTTGTGTATTCAAGATTTCTGTTACCTGATGATGATACTGAGTAGTGTTTTCCCTGTGGGGTTTGCACAAAACCATGTATTTTGCATTAAAAACCTTCTATCATGTGCAAAACTCTATTTTATGTAAAAGCTTTGTACATATTTTGCATAAAATGTAAAGCTTTGTGCAAAAAACATTTCCATGAATTGTTTGCAAAAACGAAACAAAACAAAACAAAAAATGGTGCAAACAGAACGCATGACAAATCGCACCATGGAAGAAGAAAACTGTTGAATTTTTTGTTGTCACTTGTGAGAAGGAAATGTGAAACAATTTATGCCACCACTTTATCATGCCAAACAATTCTTCATTGTTTTACAAATTTCTAAAGCTCTTTAATATGTCAAGGATTTATATATATCAACCTGTGAGAATAATGTGTTATACCTAGGCTCAAAAAGTACTTAAAGCACATCTGTGTTTTTGTGCTGTTTTTTTGCAAGGAAAAATTCACATATAATTTTTCCCATTTTGAGACTTGGGACAACAAGAGCAGTTTTCTGAACAAATGCTATTACAAGAGGGGCTTGGAATAATTGCTATTAATGGTAATAGTACTGTACTTGGTCAGTGCAAATCTGTCATAGATGTACCCCACTTATCTAGATGACAGAATACTCACATCTTGGCTGTTCCTCCCATACCACTTGTATAAAACATTCTGCCCATATATACAAGTTACAGTGAAACATTTCCTTAAAGCTAAATAGTTACCAGGAAAACCAGTTAATAGAGAATGCATGTTTAGGTATTTCTTTTTTAGATGTATGAGCCCTACAGAATTGTTTTAACCATTTCTGAATATTTGTTCTAAAGATTCTGTGTCCAAATCCTGTGATGTATTCGTTTCCCTCTATTCAACACAGTTTAGGCCTTATCTAGAGTACTGTGTCCGGTCCTGGACACTGCACTTTATGTAGGATGCCAATTAAGTGGAGTAATTTCAGAGGAAGGCAACAAGGAAAGTCAGGGGACTGGAAAACAAGCACTGTGAAGAAAGATTGAAAGAACTGGGCATGTTTAGCCTTGACAAAAGAAGACTGAGGGGAGATATGAAAGCATTTTTAATTTACTTGAAAGGCTTCATAAAGAAGAGGGGCAGGATCTGTTCTTAATAATCCCAAAGTGCAGGGCACGTAACAATGGGCTCAAGCTACAGAAAGTCAGATTTAGGCTGAATATCCGGGGGGGGGGGATTTCTTAACTGTTAGAACAGTGCAACAATGGAACTCAGGAAGTTGTGAGTACGCCAACGCTGGAGACATTCAAGATAAAACTGGACAGCCCTCTGTCAGATCTGCTTTGACACGGATTCCTGCGTTGAGCAGGGTGTTGGACTCTATGGCCATATAGGCCCCTTCCAGCTCAATTATTCTATAAATCTATGATTTTACTGATAAATGTAGCATATTTTCTCAAATGTTTACTTGTAAGCCATAACCGTATATGGTGCTTAGACTGGAATGAAACATGTTACAGTGGACCCTTGACTTACAGACGGCTTGACTTACAGACTTTTTGAGTTACAGACTTCTCTGGCCGCAAAATTTAGGTTTGACTTGCAGACTGAGATTTGACTTACAGACCAGAAAAAAACCAAAATGGAACAAAAACAGCCTGTTACAGGACTAATCGGTTTTCAATGCACTGTAGGTCAATGGAGAGTTGACTTACAGACTTTTTGACTTGAGAACCGCCTTCCAATACGGATTAAGTTCTCAAGTCAAGACCCCACTGTATCCATTTTCAAACTTTTTGTTAGTGTTGGGCTGAGTGATATGTCATCATTTGAAATGTTATCTGGTTCTAGTTCACAGTCCATCTCATTTCTATTTCTTGAAGGAAATAGAACCTAGATATGTTCATTATAATTGGTTTACCTGATTATACCATGAAACCCTGTTTCCATATAAGGCTGATGATGTAATTGACCTCAGCAGTTTTTGGAAATTAAAGACTCCCCCCAATCCCATAGCCCCCCAATGACATGCCCACAATGAAAGGATCCCAAGAGAGCTGCAGGAATAGGAAATTTTTAATTTCTCATAGAAATCCATGTGCTTGATGATGAAATCAGCCTTACACAGCGTACAGCAAGATTTCATGCAGCATTTTAGTTTTCAGGAAGCCTATATATTGTGTCTCAACTTCAGTTTTCCAACTCTCTCTCTCTCATCATTTGCCACAGCTGTCGTGCTGATGATTCGGATGATCATGATGAATAACCACAACTAAAGGCAGAATTGGTGGTGCAGCCTTGTATTCATACAAATGCTTGCCATAATATTTAGGAATAAGTACCAGTACCCATGTTCATCCAGTATTTGATCTAAGCATTAGGAATAATTTGGGTTTTAATATATGGGATTTTCAAATCTTTTTAAAAATGTCTTGGCTTTAACCAAGGAGGGAGGCATTTTGTTCCTCAATAGGCTAATGAGAAGCTTGTCTAAGAGGTGTACTAAGCTGCCACAGACTTTCAATCCAGATAAATCAGTCTTTTGACATTCCGCTAAAATGCAGAGATACAAGAGGAAAATTAAACAGGGGAAGATTTTGTGTCTCTTGAATGATACTGACATGGCAAACTCAGCTGTGCAAATGTTAAAAGATTTTGGAGTGCAGTCCTCTGAGGTGCTAGACACTCTCACAGTGCCAGAGGTTTAGGAAATACTGCCTGCACTACTTTTTGGGAGTCATGGCAGCAGGAAATGCTGCAGAATGCTTTATTCATCAGAATCCCATACCTAGTTAGCACCGTTGATCTATTTCTAGATCTTTAGTTTTGCATTTGTTGCTTTCCTAGTTTCACTTTTTGTTGAGTTAGGAAATGCTTTTTCCTTAGGTAAACTATTTTTTTAACTCACTGCTCAAAAGATGATGCAAATGGATCCATAATAGTTTTTGGTGTTAGAAGCAAAAGGACAAATAAAGATATTCAGAAGATAAAATAATGGAACAAAACATAACATCAGCTGCAACAAAAGGAAACTAACAGTCCCTGCTGAATTCTGAGACAGATGTTGGGGGGGATTGTTGATAGCATTTTTTGGCACCAATATTACAATATATTTACTGCAGACATAGTAAGTAGTATGCGAGTGAGTAGGAGGGGAAAATTTTTTGGAAAGGCAACAGTGGTATTAGGGAGTATTGTAGACACAACCCATTTTAGTCCATTGGGTAGAGCACTGGCATGCGGAAACCCCTTGTTCTATTTCTTGCTCATGGCCACGACTGGAATAGAGGAAGCTCTTATGTGTCAAGTCAAATCATTGTCATTCGTGCCCAGTGGAGGTTGTAGGAGTGGGGAGGACTTAGAGGGACAAGCCCAGTGAACTTCTGCTTCTCCTGTGCTTCTTGTAAAGTGTACAGGGTCTGTCAGTCTTCAGCCATGGATTGAAGAAAGAGCAAGGAATCACTTTTTTCACTCTTTGGATCCACTGTGTTCCATACCTGCCCAAACAATACTGGAAGTGACCAGAAGGCTACTTCCATTTTAGTAGAACCCCATGGGGGGGAGTGTGTATTTGGGCACACTTTTCAAACATACATGGTCATAGTCATGTATGCCCTTTACTCCTGAAATCAGGGAGCTAAAAGATCTGAATGCATTTAAATAGCCTTGCAGACCACGAAGTGGATAAATTAGTACAAACTCTTATTTAATGTGAATTTCTTTCTGATCCATATTTTTGAATATACATGCACAAGATCTGCCTCAAAATCCTTCTGGCATGTTAAAAAGTTATATACAGCTCCGTAATTTGTATCAATTTTATAGCTTCTTTCACCAAAGCGAATTGCTGTGACGTATATTCTCTCTTTGGTAGGAACTACCACGGACTGTAAAGACAGTTTCTCTGCCTTCAGTTTCTCTGCCTTTTAAATCAAAAGTGGAGGCCATCTGCCGGGATCTTGCACCCTATTTGAAAACAGCGGATTGAGCTGAGACATCCAGCACAGCGTCTTGTCCATAGAGGATTACTCAGCTTAAACCTGTGACATTCGTAGAGGTGGACAAGGTCCTTGATCGCTGCCGAACCACCTCCTCCTCCCTTGACCCTTGCCCGGCCTGGCTAATCAAAGCTGTCAAGCTGGTGATAACTGAA